ACTGTAACTTAAAAATTACCCTTAGGACAGATCGTTACCCACGAGTGAAAAAACAAAATTTCTATCAGTAAACCAGATTTATTCTTGAGTTGTAACCTACTGCTATACGCGAGCAAAGCAGTGATGATGTGTGACTGGAAAAGTACACAGTTCAGCGGGCGTCTTCCCTGTCCGTTCGGCGAGGCTTGCTTCGTTCTTCTGTATGACTTTTCGCGGGATGGCCAGTTTTATAGAGAACAATTTTCTTTGTCCTATCATCTTCGTCTAAAAAAGTAATTTATTTTCCTTTCGTGGCTTTCTCTCAGTCTGAGTCTCTTGCTCTGCACTTTGAAGTTAACTCCACTTACTGATAACCACCGATCGAAAGTAAACGTTCCGTATCTATTTTTGTGACAGGTCCTGCTGTTTTTAATTTAACAAAACCTCAGCTGACTCATATTGCTACACAATCCCTGACATCTTAATGAGTTATCTGAACTTTATTTTTAATTACAAATGTCAAGTTTGAAACCTTGCTTACGATATTAATAACTACGGACTACTGATGATGTTCTTTTCCCAATTCATAGTACAGAGTTTGAAGAGGCTGAATGGGGATTTCAGAAAATTACTATGCGTGTTGGTTGTAGCACGTCGATAATGTTTCGATATTGACCACAGTAGCCAAATTAATATTTATACATCCGTAGACCAAGTTCTGAACAGCCAAAGCGTACAGATGTTCGCTTTAGATCGACATATTGTAATGCTAGTGATAGACCCTACGGCATCCATAAAATAGATCAGTGAATGTGACCATAAGAATTTGACCATGTCAGGAAATGTTTCCTTGAAGTAGCACGCCCTATCCTCATAAAAACGTCCTCCAGCAACATGTTGTATGGTTAAAAATTCAATAATCATGTTTTTTTTTTATTTGTAATCCATCCGAACTTGGAGCAATTAGCTATCGCAACTTCAACTAACGGTTACAGCGTGTCATATTTAGAAACGGTATCTTTTTGCCGTTGACAAGGACTTCCTCCGACAAGTAGATGTAAGATAGATTCCGAAAAATCAGCCTGCAGTTATACGCATGGCCATCCTATGCCACCTCCCTGCATTCTAAAGTTGAGATTTTTGGCAAAGTTTAACTTAGATCATGCAAAAGGATTATGAGGGACCGTATGTATGGCATCCATAGGAATGTCGTAATTGATTGTCAGGAATCGTTTGACTTTTAACAGAACTCCTTCTCCACACACATCCTTCCTCCACCCTCCTCCCCTTCTTCCTTCCTCCTCCTCCTCCCCTCCTCCCATTCTTCCTCCTCCTTCAACGAAAATTGTTTAATGATTAGATTCATTTACCATTTTCTTTTCAGTTACAATCCAAGTGACTTGGTATAATGGGCAGTCAAAAACTTAATATTAAAATTTGCAGTCTCATTTTTTTTTTCAAAGACGGTACCTCCTTGTTGATATTAACGTTCCTATGCTAAGCATATGTAAGGATATTGATGTCGCGGTTTATTTTCTAATGCTTAAAGTACCCGTTTTCCCAAAGCGGTGCTGCATTACATGTTTTAAGTGATGATAAAAGAAAGACACAGGCAGGGGATCGAATGATGCGCTGCGATGTTCGATGACGTGAGCAGATTCTTTTTTTTTTAATTACTTCACTCCAAGAAAAGTAGTAAAGCCACTAAGACACAAGAGGTTACTGAATGTGAAAAAATAAGAAAAAATAAAAACATTTTTAAGCGGCGCTAAGAAAAAAAAAATTGAATCAAGAAAACAGTAGATTACGATTGACATTGCATTTAAATTTTTGAAGATCAGAGTTGGTTGGAAAGCATGAAGCCGGAAGAAGATTTCCACAAGCGAGAAGTGCGAGAAAAGAAATTATTAGTCATTTCAACTGTAAAATGACGAGACCTTATTATCATCAGAACAACTAATAAGAAATTATATTTTAGAAAAGGTACATTAAAAAAAGCTACATTACGCCGATGGGAAAGGGATTGAAACCGAGATGTCAGGTCAGGACCTATAACATTGCAGATTATTTGGATTTTATCAAGAATTTTTAAATACATAGCAGGAGCACCAGACCATATGTGGCAGCAATATTCAATGCATGGACGAATGGTAGACTTATAAATATGTAAGATAGATTCTGGCGAGAAAAAATGCTTAGCATGACACAGTGAACCAATTATTTACATTGTTCGAACTGTTGACCTCATCTTTATTGTCAAGAACTTATGATCCAGTGGATAAAAGCGTTGGTTGAGTCCAATGACTAGACCCAAAGAGTTGTGAGTTGAATATGTGGCTATTGCAGTGGTGAAGAGAACATGGAGAGTTGAGTGAAAGGGAGATAACTGAGACATCCGGAAGAGGCGTGATACGTGGTACTAGAAAAATGTACCCCAGTGGACGAAATAAAAGGTTCAGTTCGAAATTCCAATTATCGGAACGTACAACGGCCGAAATGTCGTGAATATGGCAATAAAGATGAGGACAACAGCCCGAAGAATGTAAATATTCACAATACCGGATCTTATCAAGATAGACATATGCAGGGAACCAACTTTCTTAGCAGTAGACTTAACAATTGGTTTAATAGAGTATTTCCACTTTATGTTAGTCGAGAATGCTACCTCCTGGGGGTTAGTCGTCCTGGGTAAGACGTTAAACTGCATCCGCGTCCTGGGTAAGACGATAAACTACGACCAGAAGCAGATCAGGAGGTTTTGAGGAGCGTGGAACCACCTCTTAATTGCTGGTGTTCCCATGTCTACCCTGACCCGGAGTGGTAACACCTGTTAGGGTCCCAGCTATGGGCAAATAGTTAACTATTACCAGCAATACTTTTTTTTTTAAATTATTACCAGCAATACAATTTTTTAAGGAAAAATATTACCAGAAACAGATTTTTGACAAAACAAAATATTACCAGCAATGAAAAAAAATTGTCGGCATTAAATAACCTATTGAGGTTGATATGCCGTAAAACAAAATAAACCAAACCAATCTAAACCAAAGAATACATATTCTATTCATACGAATCTATCCTAAAAATGTTGTCGGCATTAAATAACCCACTGAGGTTGATATGCCATAAAACAAAATAAACCAAACCAATCTAAACCAAAGAATACATATTCTATTCATACGAATCTATCCTAAAAATGTTGTCGGCATTAAATAATCCATTGAGGTTGATATGCCATAAAACAAAATAAACCAAACCAATCTAAACCAAAGAATACATATTCTATTCATACGAATCTATCCTAAAAATGTTGTCGGCATTAAATAACCCATTGAGGTTGATATGCCATAAAACAAAATAAACCAAACCAATCTAAACCAAAGAATACATATTCTATTCATACGAATCTATCCTAAAAATGTTGTCGGCATTAAATAACCCATTGAGGTTGATATGCCATAAAACAAAAAATAAACCAAACCAATCTAAACCAAAAGAATACATATTCTATTCATACGAATCTATCCTAAAAATGTTGTCGGCATTAAATAACCCATTGAGGTTGATATGCCATAAAACAAAATAAACCAAACCAATTTAAACCAAAGAATACATATTCTATTCATACGAATCTATCCTAAAAATGTTGTCGGCATTAAATAACCCATTGAGGTTGATATGCCATAAAACAAAATAAACCAAACCAATCTAAACCAAAGAATACATATTCTATTCATACGAATCTATCCTAAAAATGTTGTCGGCATTAAATAATCCATTGAGATCGATATGCCATAAAACAAAATAAACCAAACCAAATCATGGAGGTTAGCATCAATCATGCTGATAGATGGCAGAGTAGAAATGGGCCTGTCAGATGATCAACAGAGAGAAGTTTCGTTTTGGATGCGGTAACCTTAACAAGCCATCTGCTTTCATAGAAGTGATAGCCGTTTGAGGGAGAGATGCAGACTTTCTCGGGTGCATTCACACCCAACACACTGTCATAAATTTTGGCATAAGAAGACAGAATGTCTGGTCATCAGTAAAAGGATGAGCCCGAAAAGCGATTTTCAGGTCGGGGACACTAAAATCAATCAGGTGCAGAAGTTTAAATATCTGTGAAGTGTTTTGACGGAGGACAGTATGTGCGATGCTGAGATCCGTACACGTATGTGGATGGCCAAGGACGCATTCCAAAAGCTGTGCAGAGTATACTGAGGCAGGAGGATTTCTTTGGTAACAAAGAAAAGAGTACTGAGCTGTTAGGGGACATCGGTCCTCTTTTACGGCAGCAAATATTGGACGGTGACCTCAAAGATAAAGAAGAAACTCGAGGGGACAGAGATGTGGTTCTACAGAAGGATGCTGAGGATGTCATGGACTGAGCGTTTGAGCAACGGTGAGGTCTTGGAGTGGATGCAAACAAGGAGGAGGCTTATACTTAACATCAAGAAAAGGCAGCTGAAGTTTCTGGGACGCGTAATGAGAAAGGAGGGCCTGGAGAATTTGATACTCAGAGGCCGAATTGAGGGAAAGAGAGACAAGGAAAAACAACGCATGCAGCCTTAAGCAAGTGGATGACAGGACGTGGTCTGGAGGAGGTGGCAGAGGGGCGAAAGCTATTGAGAGCTACAAGGGAGAGGAAGGGGAGTGGAGAGCTATGATCGCCTACGTCCTGATCGAACACGGCACATAAAAAGAAAAAGAAAGATATCGACTGTTTGACTTCGGTGCTTGTTCAAGGAATAATGAACAGCACTATGTACGCCAAGTTTACATGGCCTTGTGGGTGATGACTTATTTTCTACACTACAGCTTCTTCTCATACGCAAAGTTACAAGCATATCACCACACTTTCGCTATATCCATGGCAATTGTTCAAATGAGTTCAGTTCTTTAGTTCCACCATTTCAGACATTTACAATCGTGCCACTTCCAAAGAGTTGAATCATTCTTGTTTCCTTCATGTTTCAAATGTAAGAAGAAAGTTGACATCTCCAAGACGGGGGTCATCTTTCATGCTCATCATGTCAATTTTCATTTCTTATCATATTCTCTACTGTTCATATCACACGCCTCACTTCGGCGTGATGTAATGGTTAACAATCTCGTCTTGCTAGATCAATTACGACTAAGTAGTGATTTCGATACTCATTAGGTGCTCCACGCTTTCGGTCTTTTGCCACATCAAAGCTAGCTTTAGAAAATCACCATATCACAACCTAGGATTGTATTGAGTGAATTTTTGTATTAGAGTTAAAAGACAAACCTTACAATATTTGCTGTATTGCGTCACCATTTGCAAGAGGCACCGAGTAAAATATCGCAATATGGTTAAGGAATCAGCACAAAAATCTTCTGAGCCGACCAAGCATAGAAATGAATACAATATGGGAACCAGTAATAAAGAGTGCCAGAGAAAAGCGATAATAATAAAAAATGTTGCAATATGAGCTCTGGTAAAAACATGAAATGATAACAGCAAAAATTGCCATATGAGCACTGGTAAAATGGTTACTGAGACATTAGGTTCATAATAATACCTAGGAATTCAAACACAGATGTCCTCAAGGACACATGACACAGTGGATAAAGGCGTTTGTTAGATCCAGTGACAGGACCCAAAGAGTGTGAGTTCAATACCCGGTTAAGGCAGTGGAAAACTTTCAGATGGAAATTAACAGGAGATAACTGATAACTGACATCCATTAAACATGGCAAGTGGAACTAGAACAGTCTATCCCGACATTCCAACCACCTGAAGAAGGCCGAAACGTTGTAATAAATACGGCGACAAAGATGAGGACAATAGTCCGAATAATGTAAATAATGTTCACCCAGTTCATCTCTCTCTCTCTCTCTCTCTATTAGATACTTTTTCTCTCTCATTCTCTCTCTCTCTCTCTCTCTCCATCAGGTTCTTTTTTCGTTCACTCATTTAATCTCTCTCTCTCTCTCTCTCTCTCTCTCTCTCTCTCTCTCAGATATACTTTCTCTTTCAAGCTCTTCATATCTTTCTCTATTATATTCTCTTTCTCTTTGGCACTTTTCAAGTCTCTTTCACCCTCGTCCTCTCTCCCTATCTCAGCCTCTCTATCACGCTCACATTCTCCCTGTTCATATCTCTCTCTCTCTATCAGAATCTCTTTTTCTTTCATTCTTTTCATCTCTCTCTTTCGATCAGATTATCTCTCTCTGTCTCTGTTTATATATCACACTCTTTCCTTCTGCCAGATTCCATTTCTATTTCTTCCAGTTCATATCTCTTTCTATATATCTCTCTGTTAGGCTCTCGTTTTATTTCACTGTTTATATCTCTATCAGGTTGCCTTTCTCTTTCACTCTCTCTCTCTCTCTTTCTCTCTCTCTCTTTCTTTCAGATTCTTTTTCTCTTTTACTCTGTTCATATCTATCTCTCTATCACGTTCTCTTTCTATTTCATTCACCTTATATTTGTCTATCAGATTTTCTTTCTCTTTCACTCTCACCATATTTCTATCTATCACCTTCTCTTTCTCTTTCACTGTTCATATAAGTATCTTTCTCTCTGTCTATTTGTCTGTCTGTCTGTCTGTCTGTCTGTCTCTCTCTCTCTCTCTCTCTCTCTCTTGCTATATATATATATATATATATATTATTTTCATTATAAAAGATTATAATAAAAACACAAAATCTTTTATGGTTCAATACTTCGTACAATCAAAATATTGAAACAAGAAAGTTTTGTCTAGCGATTTCAATATAATACCAATAATAATATATTATTCTACTTTGTATTGAGCTCTTTTTAAAAAGTAAATGCTATGAACAGTGAAATTTTACTCCATCTCTTCTTTCTCTCATTTGTATATATATATATATATATATATATATATATATATATATATATATCCCCTTCTGTTTTTATTGCTTTCATTCTGTTCATATCTATCTGTTCATACATTACCCATCTTACTGTTTCCATTTCTGTCTCGCTTTCATAATAGGAGACAAGTCTATCAGATTTTATCATACGAATCAATGTATGCCCAATAAAAACCCAATTAACAACGCAACATTGTTTCTATAATGTTTGCAATGTATCGTTCCTAGCAGTTTTATTACATCGCTCCTAGCAGCCATACCCAGCGTTCAATTAAAATGGAGCAAAAACAGCATCATGTTTAGATTTCTTCATATTAATTTACTAGCAATCATACCAGCTGGTCGAACAGAAAAAGCGTTCAATTACAATGGAGCAAAAAAAACAGCGTCTTAGTCTATCTTCTTCAATTACATTAAAGTACTTTCATTAAAAACAGGAGTTAATTCAGTTACTAATATAACAGAAGTTAGCCGAGAACATGAAGGGGTAAAACCGGCAACATAAAGACCCACTTCAGACCACAATTTTTTTGGAGTTTTTGAAATTCAATTTCTCAGTGTGCTACCAGTGTTGTAAAAGAGGATTCATTTATAAAGCTATTGTTAAGTGTGATTAGCTCGTCATGATGTAAGTAACCTACATACCGAGTTTGAACGAAATCAGAGGAGAAAAGTTGAATTTATCGATTTTTGATCGGCTTTATCGATTATTGATTTTTTAAATTATCGATTTTTAGGCTAAGATTGTACAATGTAAGCGCCAAGTTTGGTTAAAATCAGTTGGATGGATCTCGAGTGAAAAAGTATCACACAGACAGACAGACACACAGACATCCTTTGTTTTATATAGAGAGATTAAGTTATTAATCTTGTTGGGGCGTTTCAGCTCGTATTATGCAAATCAATAAATGAAGCCAACACAGGACACTTATTTGATTAAAAAAATAATTCAGATATCTGAATAAATTATTCTTTTATTATTTTCGACATTAATGACGTTGATATTTTATAGCCTACATACGAGTTTCTCATTGATTTTGTTAACTTTATCTTTAGACTTTAATATTACTTTTAGTAGTTTACTATTTCCGGGGACATTCTTTATGGCTACATTGTTTTCTATTCGCGTACACGCCTCTTTTAATGATGAATTAAATTTTGGTTCTTCGTGGCTTTCCCCAACGTCCTGTTCTTCGTAGACCGTAATAAAGTTTGTCCATTTTCTATATCTCATAATCCCTGTTCTGCCAACCATTTATTCAGCTAGGCTTTAGGTAGGCTGTACACTACATTTCTCTGACCCGCTTCCATTCATTATGTCCTGTGAGCATCAAATTTTCTAAGCCCTCTTTTCTCATTATGTGCTCGAGAAATGTGAACTCTTTTTGATGCTATTTATAAGTGTTTGGTTTCCCTTTTCTATAAAACTTCGTTGTTGCCCGCGTTTTCTGTCCATGGTATTCTCAGCATCCTTCTGTAGAACCACAATTCTGTTGTCTCAACGTTCTTCTCCGTTTATCAGGTGTCGGTTCAACATTCACTGCCATATAAGAGGTTTGATATTACATAACATTTAAGTTCTCTTTTCTTTGTTTCTAACGAAATTTTCATGTTTCTTAATGCTTTGTTTAGCTTTTAGAAAGCATCTTCTGTTATCCCAACGCAACTTCGGATTTCAGTATCGCATTTTTGTTTTCATCCTCTGTTAAAACACCTCACAGATATTAAAATATTTGTACTTGCTTGATTTTGGTATCCCCAATGTGTAATTTGCATGTTGGGCTCTTCCTTTTTTCTGACAACCATACATTATCTCTTTTCGCAATTGATGCTTAAGTGCCCTGAGGAGGTATTACTGTCCTGGGTCAAGAGGGTGTCTGCTGGAAGACCCTATGTCTGGCAACAGGACTCTGCACCATGCCACACTAGCAGCAGAATCCAGTCACGGCTGTCAGACAATTTCTGTGACCACATCGCCCTTTACACCTGACCATCTAACTCCTCAGACTGCAACCCCCTTGATTCTTGTGTGGGGCACAGTTGAGCGAGAGACCAACAAAACTCCTTGTCACACCAAAGATGAACTGAAAGCAAGGATTATGGTAGCATTCACTTAAACAAGGAGACAGCCTAGAAGAGTAGCAGGAAATTCCGAAGTCGTTTTTGAGGCCGTGGTTGAAACCAATGACAATTTTATGATATTGGCCTCGTGAAATCTAGATTTGAACTTTGCGATGAACCTCGTAGCATGTCCATCTTTAACGATACGGACGTTATGGTCACTTTCTTGAGTGAGGCGAGATTTGATATAATTAATGTTTTCTGTTATCCCCCGACTATTGTCATTTTATTAAATAAATTTACTCTTTTGTATTTCAAGATATTTTTGCGTAATTTTTGATAAATATATATGTAAGCGTTATTTTCATTTTTGCATAATTTTGACGACAATTTATCCATCGCAGCCTGTGGAAGGCCCGATATTCCATAAAAGTTCAGCACTCAAATTTTTTTTTTTTTTTTTTTTGTTTTCAATGAAATTTTCCTGTTCTTAATACTTTGCTTAGCTTCCATAAAACATCTTTCGCTATTCTAATGCGCCTTCGGATTTCAGTGTCAAACTTTCCGTCCTATATTAAAACACCTCCCAGATATTAAAATGTTTGTACTTGCTTGATTCTGGTATCCCCAATTTGTAATTCTCATGTTGGGCTGTCCCTTTTGCTGACAACCATGAATACCATGATTAATCCTTTTTTTCTCGATTTCCGGTAGTTTCTTTTTTGTGTTTTAATTTTTTTTTTTTAATCCTTTCACCACAAGCAAAGCGGGAATGCCACACGTACGCAGGGGGTTACAGGAAGTGTAAGTGAGAGAAAAACTGAGTATAGGAAGGACTGAGGAAAGGACAAAAGATGAACGGGATTCAGGAAGACAGAAGAAGACCATTGACGTTGCATTTAAACTTTTGAAGATTGTCGTTATCAAGGAAGCAAGTAAACAGGAGGAAGTTCCACAGACTGGAAGTGCAAAAAAATCTTTTAGAGTAGGAGTGGCGATTGCATTTAGCTATTGTGTCTGCTATTAACACTGTGTCATCTGCATATCTAATAATGAATCCTAGGACTTCTAATTATCTCACGGTTGCTTCGATGTAAAGATTGAATAAGTCCGGCGAGTAAACACAACCTTGTCTTATGCCCCTTTCTCTATATCGATTTGCTTCCAGTAGCTTAAAAATTCTTGATTGAGACCTGTGCTACTAAAATACGTCTTCTGCAAAAACTTAGATAATTTTCTGCATTTAGTAGCAATTTGAAAGGACGAATGAATTTATTGCCTACAACACGAGACTAAAACATTACTACCGCTTAATCCCTGTTGTTTGCTAAGTCATGTTAGTTGGCTATTTTCATTAAGAATTCACTATGCAGTCCATCCAATGTAGCTCTACATTCATCACGAAATATTATTGTGTGATATCAGTTTTTATTCATTTCACTAACAGTATATATATATATATATATATATATATATATATATATATATATATATATATATATTTAAGTGTGTGTGTGTGTGTGTGTGTGTATTTACATGTTTATACCAAATAGTTATTTTGGGGAGATCAAGAGACAGCAAGACTCTTTGACTCTACACAATCTTTCCATTGTCCTCATGAAAACAGCGCTGCCTTGGTCCTTGTAGTCTCAATTGTTCTTGGTGTTTCATATTTATCTAATCTTACCTGAAGCTTTTGGGGCACAGTTCCCAGTACATCATCAATTATGAAAAGGTTCTTGTATTTTTCACCTCAATCAAGGCAATAAAGCCACTAAGACACAAGAGGTTACCGTGTGTGAAAGAATAAGTAAAAACAAAAACGTTATTAAGAAGAGAGAACAATAAAAGAAGAGGAATCAAGAAGGCAGCGTGTAAGGAATGACATTGATTTAAAGTTTGGAAGATCAAAACTGGTAGGAAAGCAAGAAGTTGGAAAAGAGCTCCACAGGCGAGAAGTGCGATAGAAGAAACTGTTGGTATAGAGCTTATGGTTACATCTAACCGTTTCAACTATTAACATGTCCCAAGATGTATTTCCAAGCAAAGCCCACGTTTATTTCCGCTTTAGACTTACTCTTGTATATTCCTTAAAATACTATATTTTTTTAATCATTTCACTCCAAGCAAGGCCATAAAGCCACTAGGATGCAAGGGGTTACTGTGTGTTAGAGAATATGAGAAAAACTATTGTCAAGGAAAGAGGGAAATAAAAGAACACGAATTGAGAAGACAGAAGATAACGATTGACATTGCATTTAAATTATTGAATATCAAAGTTAACTGGGAAGCAAGAGGCCGGAAGAGAGTTCCACAAGCGAGAAGTGCGGTAGAAGAAACTGTTAGTATAGAACTTACGGTTACATCTAGCCATTCCAACTGTAACTTTATGAAATCATACCGCCAATCTGGTACTGCGCCTAAATTCATAAATTCTAGTTAGCATAGAAGATAGTTCATCAGAAAATTTACCATGAAAATACTTATAAAAAAAGACACGGTTTAGCAGCGTTACGGCGGTGGAAGAGGGACTGAAACCGAGATGCCAGGTCAGAGCCAATAACATTGTAGAACTTCTTTGGATTTTCTCAAGAATCTCT